TCATCTCTACAATAAATCAAAAAATCAGCTGGGCGTGGTAGTGCATGCCTGTAATTCCGGCTACTTGGAAGGCTGAGGCGGAAGGATCGCCGGAACCCAGCAGGTCGAGGTTGCAGTGGCCAGGAGCGGCCACTGCACTCCAGTCTGGGCGACAGAGTGAGACTCCAACTCAAAAAAAAAAAAAGTTTATTTGGGCACCAAAAAAAAAAAAAAAAAGAAATCCATGCATAGTTTTTTCATAATATGCATTTTCCATGAACTTTTTGAAGCCCTCTTCTATAAGAATACCATGTGATCCTGTTTATATGAATTTCTAAAACAGGCAAAACTCTTCTATACTAATACAAGGCAAATAAGTGGTTTTCTGGAGTTGATATGGAGTAGGGATTGGCCGCAAAGGGGGACAAAGGAGCTCTTTTGGGGTTATATCTTCATTGTTGTGGTAGTTACATGGGTATATACATTTGTCAAAAATCAAACTGCACTCTTAAAATGAGCATAGTTTATTGTCTATAAATTATACCTTAATGAAGCTGATTACATGAAAATTAACAATGAGGTACAATTTCGTACCCATCATATTAGCAAACATTTTTTACTCTGGCAGTGTCAAGCATTGGTGAAGATATGAGGAAAGAAGTACTGTTCTTTTCTCTTTTTTTTTGAGTTGGAGTCTCACTCTGTCGCCCAGGCTGGAGGGCAGTGGCCGTTCCTAGCCACCGCAGCCTCGACCTGCTGGGATCTGGCGATCCTTCCACCTCAGCCTTACGAGTAGCTGGAACTATAGGCGCACGCTACCACACCCAGCTGATTTTTGGATTTATTGTAGAGATGAGGTCTCACCAAGTTGCCTAGGCGGGTCTTGAACCCGCGGGCTCAGGCAATCCACTCACCTCAGCCTCCCAAAGCACAGGATTACAGGCTGAGCCACTGAGCCTGGCTAGTACTGTTCTTAATATTGTTATTATTATTTGAGTCGAGGCCTTACTCTGTTGCCCAGGCCGGCACGCAGTGGCATGATCACGACGATCAGGACTCATGGCAGCCTCAAACTCCCGGGCTCAGGCGATTCTTCCACCTCAGCATCCCTAGTAGCTGGGACTACAGACATACACCATCAGGCCTGGCTTAATTTTTTGAGTTTTTGTAGAGATGAGGTCTCGCTGTGTTGCCCAGGCTGGTCTCAAACTCCTGGTTTCAAGCAATCTGCCTGCCTTGGCCTTCCAAAGTGCTGGGACTACAGGTGTGGGCAATGTTGGTGTATCGCAACATGGGTAGACCTAAAAAATGTAATGTTGAGTGACAAAGGCAAGATCAAGACCAATTGATAAAGTGTGATGCCATTTATGCAAATTAAAACCCCATTGTTCTTAGATATATGCATATGTATGTATAGTATAAAAGTATAAAAAGTGAACTGGAAGGATAAACATCAAGGTGATGATAGCGCTTGCCCATGGGGAATGGAGGAGGAGAATGGAATGGATTGAATCTGTTAAAGGGACTGACTTTATTAGTGATGTCATAATTCCTTTTTTAAAAGTTAGGAAGGCTAGGTGCGATGATTCATGCCTGTAATCCCAGCACTTTGGGAGGCCGAGAGGGGAGGATCACTTGAGGCCAGAAGTTTGAGACCAAAAAGACCCTGTCTTTACATGCACAGACGCTCACACACACATACACACAAACAGGCAGACGTGGTGGCACATGCCTGTAGTCCTTGCTACTTGGGAGACTGAGTCCAGGATTTTAAGACTACAGTGAGCTATGATTGCACCACTGTACAAGAACCTGGATAACAGAGTGAGACCCTGTCTCTAAATAAAGTTAGTGGGGTGAGGGAGAAAAAAAGTTAGGAAGAATATTGATGAAATTAGATATACTTTTTTTTATATCTTCAGTGCTTCTCATAGTAAATTTTTATTTTTTTATATTAACCACTAAACCACCAGGTACTCATAGTAAATTTTTTTTTAAGTTTCGCATAATCTTCCAAGAAAACCATTGTTAAGAGAATTGGTGTAGATCTGTCTATACTTTTTATGCATGTTCAAATATACATACAAATATACATTATGTTTATATGCATGTACATTTATGTGCATGTGTCTGTGTGTAGAAGTTTTATGTTAAGTTCCTGCTATACCTCCTGTTCTGGGACTTGATATTTCTCACTGATGAATATCATGGATATTTTTCATACTAGTAATATTGAACTAACTTAGGGGGCTCATTGAAGCCAGGAGTTTGAGACCAACCTGGGCAACATAGCAAGATTTCATGTCTACAAAAATAATTTTTTTTGAGTTGGAGTCTCTGTTGCCCAAGCTGGAGTGCAGTGGCATGCTCATGGCCACTGCAGCATCGACCTGCTGGGCTCAGGTGATCCTTCCACTTCAGTCTTTCAAGAAGCTGGAACTACAGGCATATGCCATTACGTCCGGCTAATTTTTTTTTATTTATTGTAGACATGAGGTCTCACCAGGTTGCCCAGGCTGGTCTCGAACCCATAGGCCCAGGCAATCCTCTCACCTTGGCCTTCCAAAGTGCTGGGGTTATAGGCATGAGCCACTGTGCCCAGCCTACAAAGTCGTTTTTTTTTTTTTTTTTCCAAATGAACTGGAGGCCAGGCACGGTGGTTCACACCTATAACTCAGCATTTTGGGAGGCTGAGCCTGGAGGATCACTTGAGGCCAAGAGTTCAAGACCAGCCTGGGCAACATAGCAAGACCTCATCTTTACAAAAAAAAAAAAAAATTAGCCAGGCATAGTGGCACATGCCTGGAGTCCCAACTACTTGAGAAGCAGAGGCAGGAGGATTGTCTGAGCTCAGGAAGTTGAGGCTGTGGTGAATTGTGTTCATGATGCCTTTGCACTCCAGCCTGGATGACAGAGTGAGACTCTGACTAAAAAAAACAAACAAACCCCAGAAAACAAAAATTAGCCAGGCATGGTGGTATGCAACTATAGTCCTCACTACTCAGGAGCAAAGGGTAGGAGGATTGCTTAAGCCCAGGAGATCAGGGCTGTAGTGAGCTGTGATCACAGCACCCTACTCCTGCCTGGGTGACAGAGTGAGACCCCATATCTAAATAAATGCAATTTTTTTGAGGTGAGGTCTCATTCTGTCACCCAGGGTAGCATACAGTGGCGTGATCACAGCTCACCACACCCCCGACCTCCTGGGCTCAGGCGATCCTTCTGCCTCAGCCTTCTGAGTATCTGGGAATACTAGTGCACCCAGCCACATCTAATTTTTTATATTTTTGTAGAGATGAGGCCTCACTATGTTGCCCAGGCTAGTCTTGAACTCCTGGGCTCAAGCAATCATCCTGTCTTGGCCTCTTAAGTATTAAGATTACAGGCATGAGCTGATGTGCTCAGCCAAAAAAAATTTTTTTTAATTGATTTAAGTTAGTCTTTTAAAAAGACTGTGGTATTTCTAGGTGTACTATGATTTATTTAATCCATCACTGTTGATGGACATTTTTTTTTTTTTTTTTTTGAGTTGGAGTCTCACTCTGTCACCCAGACTGGATGCAGTGGCACGCTCCCGGCCACTGCAGCCTTGACCTGCTGGGCTCTGGCGATCCTTCCAAGTAGCTGGAACTACAGGTGCGTGCTACCACGCCCGGCTAATTTTTTTTTTTAATTTTATTGTAGAGATGAGGTCTCACCAAGTAGCCCAGACGGGTTTCGAACCCACGGGCTCAGGCAATCCACTCACCTCAGCCTCCCAAAGTGCAGGATTACAGGCTGAGCCACTGAACCTGGTGGACATTTAACTCATTTCCTTTTTTTGTTGTTGCTATCACCAGTAATACCACAATAAACATCTTGTGACATACATGTTTGCATAATAATGCAATTTCTTCCTTGGAATAGGTTGTTGGATGCAGAATTGTGTGTCAAAGCAAAATACTCAACATTTTAATTGATATGACCAAATTTCTCTCCAAGAGAACGTTTTTGTTGTTGTTGCTCTTGTTGTTGTTGCTGTTACCCAGGCTGGAGTTCAATGGCACGAACATGACAATCACGACTCATGATAGCCTCAACCCACTGGGCTCAAGCCATCCTTCCCACTTCAGCATCTGAAGTAGTTGGAACCACAGGAGCATGCTACCATGTCTGGACAATTTTTAAATTTTTTTTATAGAGATGAGGTTTTGCTATGTTGCCCAGGCTAGTCTCGAACTCCTGGATTCAAGCCATCCACCTGCTTTGGCCTCCCAAAGTGCTGGAATTACGGGTGTGAGTCACTGCACCCAGCCTGAGAACTTTCTTCTTCTTTCTTCTTTTTTTTTTTAGTCTCACTCCATTGCCCAGGCTGGAGTGCAGTAGCCCACTCACAGTCACCCCAGCGTCGATCTGCTGGGCTCCAGTGATCCTTCTGCCTCAGCCTTCCAATAGCTGGAACTACAGACGCATGCTACCACACCCGGCTAATTTATTTATTTATTGTAGAGACGAGGTCTTGCCAAATTGCCCGGGCTGGTCTCGAACCCAGGGGCTCAGGCAATTCCCTTGGCTTGGCCTCCCAAAGTGTTGGGATTACAGGCTGAGCCTCCGAGCCCGGCTGAGAGCTTTCTTTAGGGACAGAAATGTTCTGTGTCTGCCCTGTTCCAATGCCATAGTCACTAGCCACAGGTGGCCACTGAGTGTTTGAAATGGGGTATGTGTGACTAAGGAACAGCCTAAATACCTGTTTATGTCTGTTTTATTTGTTTGGCTTCCATCAGTGATTTGCTTCAGAAAGTCCTATGGCTAAAAAGTTTGAAAAATCCTAAATTAAGGTATTTCCTTCCAAGAAAACCAGCTTTCAGCTCAGAGAGGCCTGTCTGATTAGGCTGGGGTCATGGGATGTCTACGAACAGGAGATCAAAGCGAGAACATTTAAAACCCATACAAAGGTACACATTGATTTTGTCTGCATTAGGCCTTGGTGAAGGCTGATCAGAAGCCAACTGTTGACTTGAGTATCCTCTCTCTCTTTCCAGGGCAAAGGACCCAAAGCTGTCATCAGCATTAAGGACTTGAATGCCACCTTCCAGACAGAGAAGATAGGGCACCCCCACGGGCTGCAGATCACCTACAGGAGAGAGGGTCACACCAGGAACCTGTTTGTGTATCACGAGAGTGGGAAGGTGAGATGCCTGGAGTTGCCCCTCAGCCTTCAGCTCAGTTCCCCAGGACTAATGGCTCCCCAGGCCAGCTTGCTGCCTCCCTTGCTCATAGGTGATATGCTCAGCGGCCTCTTAAGACTTGCTGCTGCTATTTGCCTTAATTTGTTGTCATCTCCTAGTCTGAGACTGAGGTATGAGGAAGGCAGAGTGAGATCACAGAGAGGAACCTGGCAAGTCCTGTGAATCTAGCTGGACATGCGTGGCCACCAATGGGAATCCAAGTTAGCAGAAGCAACTATACCCAGGGACGGCAGATCCAGGGTGGCAGGAGGGCAAAGATTCTGAATACGGGAGGAGGAATGGATAGATGACTAGGTGGCAGTGCACTCAAGAATGTTGCTTTTCGCCGGGCTCGGTGGCTCAGCCTGTCATCCCGCGCCTTTGGGGGGCTGAGGTGAGTGGATGGCCTGAGCCCACGGGTTCGACACCCGTCCGGGCAACTTGGCAAGACCTCATCTCTACAATATATCAAAAATGAAGCCGGGCTCGGTGGCTCAGCCTGTCATCCCGTGCCTTTGGGGGGCTGAGGTGAGTGGATTGCCTGAGCCCGCGGGTTCGAGACCTGCCTGAGCAGCGAAACCTCATCTCGACAATAAATCAAAATTCAGCCGGGCGTGGTAGCGCATGCCTGTCATTCCGGCTACTCGGAAGGCTGAGGCGGAAGGATCGCCGGAGCCCAGCGGGTCGAGGCTGCGGTGGCCGGGAGCAGCCACTGCACTCCAGTTTGGGCGACACAGTGAGACTCCAACTCAAAAAAAAAAAAAAAAAAAAAGAATGTTGCTTTTCAACATGTAGTCCTGCACCGACAACATTGGCACCACCTGGGAGCTTGTTAGAAATAGAGTCTCGACTGGGTATGGTGACTCACGCTTATAATCCCAGCACTTTGGGAGGCCGAGGTGAGAGGATTGCCTGAGCCCAGGTGTTCGAGACCAGCCTGGGCAACTTGGTGAGACCTTATTTCTATAGTAAAACAAAAATTAGCCGGGCATGCTGGCATATGCCTGTAGTTCCAGTTACTTAGAAGGCTGATCAAGGCTGCAGTGGCTGTGAGTGTGCCATTGCACTCCAGCCTTGGCAACAGAGTGAGACCCCAACTCAAAAAAGAATAAAAGGAAATAGAGTCTCAGGCCCACCCTGGATCTACTGAATGAGAAACTGCATTTTAAGCTGGGCTCAGTGGCTCAGCCTGTAATCGCACGCTTTGGAAGACTGAGGTGAGTGGATTGCCTGAGCCCGCGGGTTCGAGACCCACCTGGGCAACTTGGCGAGACCTCATCTCTACAATAAATCAAAAATTAGCCAGACATGGTAGCGCGTGCCTGTAGTTCCAGCTACTCGGAAGGCTGAGGCAGAAGGATCGCCAGAGCCCAGCAGGTCGAGGCTGCGGTGGCCGGGAGCAGCCACTGCATTTTAGTCTGGGCGACAGAGTGAGATTCCAACTCAAAAAAGGAAAAAAAAAAGACTTTCCAGAGGGAGGAGTTTCTAATTAAGAATTGTGTGAATATGCTAAAAAAGGCACACACTCCAACCGACTTGAAGGGGACATGGGTGGAAAGAATACAGAGGTATCATTTATTTCAAGGGCAATAGGTATGGCTGGGCCTCTTGAGAGATTAGAATCAGGAGTTCTGGCCGGGTTCGGTGGCTTACCCTGTAATCCCAACACTTTGGGAGGCCGAGGCAAGTGGATTGCCAGAGCCTGTGGGTTCGAGACTAGCCCGGGCAACTTGGCGAGACCTCATCTCTACAATAAATCAAAAATTAGCCCGGTGTGGTAGCATGTGCCTGTAGTTCTGACTACTTGGAAGGCCGAAGCGGAAGGATCGCCGGAACCCAGCAGGTCGATGCTGAGGTGGCCGTGAGTGCACCACTGCACTCCAACCTGGGAGACGGTGTGAGACTCTAATTTTAAAAAATTATAATAATAATTTTAAAAAGAATTAGGAGCTGTGTGCGTGTGTGTGTGTGTGTGTGTAGAGAAAGAGAGAGAGAAAGTGCCAGTAATGTTGTATTTCTTTGTTTCTCTAAGTTCTAGGACTCCATTCCCAAGATCACCAAGGAATCTCATATCAGTCATCTTTCTCAACCCTCTCCCTTGGCTTTACCTTGGGTCTTGTGCAGTCTAGGAGACATGAGGGGATTCCTGGTTGTTAGCCCATGATAGGCTCTCTGCTGCTGCCCCATGACCAGATTGGCTGGACACTGGTGGCCACTCCTCCATGCCAATTACTACCACCAGGACTTTTGCTGAGGTTCCCAAGGTCTCTGACACTATAACTCTGGCTTCCTCCCATCTGCCCAGTGTGGTGAATGACTACCTAGATGTGAGGCTTCTACTCCCCGACTACCATTCTCCTCTTTTGCTTGATATCCCAGCCTTTCTGTTAGATGGGCATATACGTAGGGTGCACATGCGTGCCTGCAGGAGCCATGGGTAATTTAAAAGTAAAGTGGACAGGTATAAGGAGTGATGGGGGCTGTGGCAAAATGGAAAACCTGCACAGAGGATTGAAACAAACAAAATTTCAGGAGCCAAACAAACATGTATGCAAGTTGGATTTGGCCCCAAGATCACCAGTTTGTGACTGGAGAGACCTTCCAAAGTAAAGGCCTGGGTGTGTCTTTTCTGGGTTGGCCCCATTCCATTAGTGCCTGAGATACAAGAAGGTTCTTAACAAATGCCAGGACAAGAGAGCTCAGAACCCTGTACTACTAGGCCTGTGTGCTTGACCTAAGAGAGAGAAAGGAAAAGTGTGCATTTCTTTGCACACAAATGACTTTTTCAACCACTGTATTACATCAAAGTCCAGCAGTGCAGCTATTGGACCGTCTTTTAGCCTCCCAATTCTAAATTTTTGGAAGAAAGAATCTGATAAGCCCAGTGCAGCCTCTGTATTGGTCTAGCTCTGGTCCGGTTGCTGTGGCCCAGGAGGAGCAGGACCGTAGGAGCCAATGGGGCTGTCACTGGCAGTGGGTGAGGGTGGCTGGGACAGTTCTCATAGGAGCAGGGCTTGGACTGAGCAAGCACCCAAAAACCCATCCACTATAACATCTACACTAACCTGCAGGATGAGTAGAATGTTCTAGATAAAAGGTGTGTGTGAGAGGGAGGTGGTTGAGGCAGAATGTCCCAACAGGAGGGAACAGTATGAGTTGGGGGAATTGCAAACAGCTTTGTGTGGAAGGAGCTCAAAGGACAAAGTACATCACACTAAAGTACTTGGACTTTTTTTTCTGAGAGTAGTAGAGAGAACTCTAAGCCAGACTGGATTCAATCTGTACTTAGAAAATCACTCTGGCTGCCACGAAAGGGCTGATGGGAGAGCAACAGATCAAGGCCACCTAGAAACGTGACCCTTGGCTAAGGGAGGCATTTTCCCAGAGTGACAGTGGGAAGGACCCAAGCCAACTTCTGCCTAAGCCAGGCCATGAGTATCCCCATTAGAGAGGCATCCCCAGGTGCACCTGTCTTTGACCTCTGAGGGGGCAGGTCTTTGACATCTGAGGACAACGATTTCCTAGACCCTTGCTCCTCAACGGGTGTTCCATTGACCAGCAGCATTGTATCACCTGAGAGTGTTAGGAATGCAGAGTCTCAGGCCCCACCCCAAATCTGAATCTGCATTGTAACAAGCTCCCCAGGTGATTCGTGTGTGTGCATGCATTAGGAAGTGAAAAGCCCTGTTTTAGGCCATTGCAGAACTCCCATGCTGTTCACTCCATCCTTTCCCATGGCTCTGGGGTCTCCCTGTCTCTCTGAACTTCCCACCTGCTCAGGTTAGCTCATGGAGCCCTGACACAGCACACCCCCCGACACGTCTGAGCGGAGCTGTGGGGCGTGTTCGTGTGCTGAATGAATGTGCCCCAAACCTGACACCCAGCTAGCTCCCTGCCACCAGACTCAGCCTCCCACCCCACCCCACCTCACTAACTGTCTGTGTGCCCTTTGCTTCTCTCTCGGCAGGAGATAGTGGACTGGTTCAATGCCCTTCGTGCAGCCCGTCTGCAATACCTGAAAACGGCCTTTCCTGAGCTCCCGGAGTCTGAGGTAAGCTAAATGTGGTCCCCAACTTCTGCATCTCCTCTCTGCCATCTCCTTCTCTCCTTGTCTGCTGACTCCAAAGACACTTAGAGGCCAGCCTAGGTTTGTTTGCAGGCAAGGCCTTGAGACGGGAGGTCCTCCAGAGGAGGCTGGCAGCTTACAGCCTCACACATGGCAAGGTGGCCTCCAAAAATCAGGTAAATTTCTGCCGTTCAGCATGCATGGCTGCTATCTGTGTTGTCAAGGGGCTCAGGGGTCTTCCTGACCCCTTCTGTCACCAAAATGTACAAATGTTCCCTAGCATACTACTTACAAAATGCTTTTGAGCCTATTTTATCTTGTAAAATGGCAGTTAGGTAGGAGTGACGATTATTTCTGGTCTCTGGAAGGCAGTGGGATCCTCCCCATGGCGTTTGTAACAGGAGTAAGCCTCCCTTCCATGACCAAGTTAATGGTGAGCCTTTCTTTTGTCTTCCTTTCAATTGTCCCCTGATGTCTAGGGCCTCTGTCTACCCATCTCAGGCTCCGCTAGGGAAGCCAGCATGGTGTGGGGCAGAGGATGCTGCCTTGAGCCAGGAGGCCTGGGCTCTTGTGGATGCTGTGTTGTTAACTTGCTGTGTGACCCCTGCAGGTCATGCCACCTCACTGAGCATCTGTTTCCCTACTGGTGAAAGGGAGTTGGTCCAGGTCATCTTCAAGTCCCTTCTGGCTCTGCGGTGGTGTGGTTTGGTCTCTGTTTTAGGCATCCTTCTAAGAGGATTTTGTAAGTGATGGGAGTGGAGAGAGGGCATGTTAGTCCTGAGGTTTTCTTATTCCCAACTTCTAGACCCTCCTTGAAAGTCTAAGATGCAGCCGGGCTCGGTGGCTCAGCCTGTAATCCCGTGCCTTTGGGAGGCTGAGGTGAGTGGATTGCCTGAGCCCGCGGATTCGAGACCCGC